GGTATTGGTGCATCCCTAGTTGCTACCACTCTTTAATAACGAGAATTAAAGTAGGCTTCATGCAAACTTTTTGAAAGTTTGTACAAAAATACTCTCACCTACATGTTGCCTTGTGAGTTTGGATTATAGGTTTTTTTTCTCTTTTGCTTGAATTTAAAATTCATTTTTAAAATCAGAGGCTTTAACTTTTGCTGCTGTGTTTTTGGCAGTTACATAACTACGAGTGGAGATCAACACGCCTGCTGAGACCCTGTTTTCTGATCTTCAATCATGTTCTCACAGAGCAAACTAATTTACCATGTGTGAAATTCTGTTTTAGAGGTCCAGGGTTTACACAAACAAAAATGTTGGTAAATCCAGACGGCCGTGAGTAGTGAAAGGGTGGGGTGGTAAAAATATTTAGTATTTATAATAACAGCAGTATGTACAACCTCAACAACTCTGAATTAAATTCCCCAACAACTGTCCTGTTGAAAAAGCTATCCAGCTGACTGTTAAAAAAAAGAAAAGAAAGAAAAATAATGGGGAAACAGAGTCCTCAAAGACAATAAATATTTTGGACAGAATAAAATACAAACTGTTAATATAAACATGCTTAAGTAAGAAAAACAGAGGTCCAGTCTTATTCTATTGAATTCTAGTGAATAGAGATTCAGATTTTTCTAATTCTGCCATAATGAAAAAAAGCAAATAAGCTTAAAGCTTTGATGTTAAGCAAACTTTTAAGCTTCATCAACAATACACAGGGGTCAATTTAACTACACACGAAACATTTAATATACAGGTATTGACATTTTGCATACATGTGACCACTATCCATGGGACATTAACTTCTAAGCCAGCAGAAGTAGTTGAAATTTGATAGCAGTTGCTGGAAAAATAAGTGCTCAAGCCCCATTCACACCTGTCAGTGACTGCTTGGCAACCACCTGTCGCTACCAAAAAGAATGCATTTTCCAACCAGTTGGCAAAAACCTCCTTGTGATTGCTTTGGTTGCTACCATATTGTGAGATTGCCTGTAGATTGTATCAATGTGACAGACTTGTCTACAAATACTGGCCAGCCGCTCTGCTCTCCGTTTGGGAGTGTGGGACACAACCCGGGAATGGCGAAGGTTTGCCTTCAAAAGTAAAAGTTGCACCTTTTGCAACATGTTGACTACAGCACTAAGGCACAACTTTTATTCTGAAGCTAAACCTTCTCCATTTCTCATTTGGCTGGTAGTTAGGGAGTATTTGAAGACAAATATGGAAACGTATTTTTGGTGCAGCACCTTCTTTGCAATCAATTTCACCGAGCGACAGCCAACAAACTCCAGAAACCACTTGCCAACCAGTTGTGGAATTAACATTGTTCCATAGCAACCAGTGATTATATCACATGCAATATGGTAAACAACTCTTAAGCACATACTTGACATCATGCATGGAACCTCAACAGCAAGGTTTTACTTGGTGTGAGATGCTAATGTGAACTTGTGTGAATTTCCCAAAATACACATGACATCCAGTCTCATGTTGGTCAAAGGGCCAACAGGAGTGCTGGACTGCCAAAGAAAAGCGAAACTATGCATTAGTGTTCCAATGAAAGGCAGTGCATAACATCTTCATGTCATGTGTTGCCAATCAAGCTCATCAACATTTTTCAGTAACTATATGTAGCATGTACACAAAAACATCTACATGTGGCAGTTTTACCGCATTAAAAAAAGCAGATGGCACGGCCATGTTAACTTTAAAGTTAACGCTTAGAGATGTGATTACACATGTACCGTGTACTCTGAGATTTTGGGGATTTCGTGCGTGAAAGTAGAAAACCTTCAAACCAGTGTTGCTGACAAATTAAGAAAAATATCAGCTCTAACCTAAAAGCTCGTCGCAAAGTCAGAACGATATACTGACAAAGCATTCGGAGCAGCAGCAACAACCAAAAATGTTAACAACAGTCTGCTGTCAAAGTTTTCTGTAACTTTTCCTAAACCACAATGATTTTTTCTAGCAGACATGTGACTACGCTTCCTCATAAATGCACCACACTAATCTCACAGATTGCTACAATGCACGGCTACAACATTACATGCTAACAAGCCTTTTATTTCTATTTAACGTAAGCAATATTAACAAAGTCATTGATATATATTTAATTATATATTTAAAACGGACTAGAATGAAACCATTTTAGTCATTACATTAAAAAATATATAGAAAAATAAAACATAAAAAACATACAACAAAAACCCAAATAAATAATCTACTCTTAGGTTTTTTTTTTAATCAAAATAAATAAATTATTATTAAACTTATTAGATGCATAACAATAACATATTTTGGCAAACTATACTTATAGAAGTGATACTTGGCGGCACTTTCTATAGGTGAGTATATTTGGTAGTGTTGAATGGCAGCTTTGAAACAAACTTTATTCTCTCAACAGTTTAAAAACAAACAAACAAACAAACAACAAACACCTATTAGCTTAATCTTTACCTCACCTGTTTTCTTACATCTGTGCGTGACGGAGCTGCTTGAGCCCCATACTCAATAAATGCCAAACACAGAAGTATTGTGACCAGAAATGAACACAGATGCCTCATTTTGCTGAACCTCTGCACTCTTTTTTTGATCCCCCATCTGTCTTTACTGTACTGATGAAAGCAGCCATAGAGCCCCTCACAGCTGTTAATGTTCGGTGATAGTACTTACTACCCTGCATTACTCAGCAGACCCTTTAGGCATCACTCACACAGCCCTAGAGATCTGTTGAAACCAACTGGCAGCAACTGGTGACAAGGGAAAAGTATGGTTTCTGGAACCGGATGGTCAGTGGTTGCTGAAGGTTGTTGGCATTCGCTAGCATGAAATTGATGACAGAGAGGTATACGGTCCTGTACTGAAAATTGCTTTACATTGCTCTGGTCACTAGCAAGTTGCTGTGGTCATCAGTAATTTATATGGAAGATGCCATCTTGTTTGGAAACATTTGGAAACTATTCACCGAGCAATAGTGTGAAAGGTGAGATACAAAATGGAAAAGATCATCCTTCAAAGTAAAATTTCTTGGTTCTTATTGGTAAGGCACAACTTTAACTTTGAAGGCAAACATTTTCTGTTTCTGGTTTGTGTTGTGCCTTTTAGTCTCACTCCCACCTGGCGAGTATTTTCCAAGTGTTTGCAGACATGTCACCCTTTTTTCAAGTGCACCTAGAATATATGGTGTTTGCAGACATGTTGGTATCTTCCATGTAAACTACAGAGGACCACAGCAAAGCAATCACGAATCAATAACTCAATAACCAACCAGGGAATACATATTACAAATTAATACACAACAACTGGCATCTAGACCTGTGTGATTAAGGCTTTAGTGGTGTTATTTGGTAAATTTGTAGT